AAAAAAGGAAAATCAACTATTGAATATTACATTAAAAGAATACAATTATGACTAGCTAGATAAACAAAAATAGTAGATTCAACTACTAATACTATTTTAACATTGTAACAAATGGGAGCACAGGCACGAGTATCGGACCTGGGAAGAAACTTAATGTATTTAGTAATATTATTTAGTAAATTCAAATGATTTTAACCCATACTCAGCTGACATACATGTATTAGTCTATGTTTACGTATCGAATTGCTGTGCCGCAATTCTGTCTACCAAGGATTTTTAGCACGAATTCGCTCGTTTCCTGATAGATATTTCATGAACGGAAAGGGCTAGAGACTTGGGGTTGGTCTCATTTTGAAGGTTAATATAAACGTGAAATAGTGATAAAAGATTTTTTTAATTGTCTGGCCAATTGTTTTCACAACGGCCCGGGAAATGAATCCCTTGCTCGTAGGCTCGAATCTGGAGTTTCCGGCCTTCTCTTAACTTACAGTATATTTTTAAAGGGGTTCATTATTTACATTTTTTTTGTTTTTTTGACACTTTTAAGATGAACACAGGTTTTTTTTATCAATCTGGTAATATTTTTTCTTCCCAGGTCCGATACTCGTGCCTGTGAATGGGAGTGGGAAGTTTTCTATTACGCACACATATGAAGTATTTTTTATTAAAGCGTACCTACGAATCGGTAGAGTAAAAGTAATAGTTATTGCATTTATACTAAGTTTCATGCTTACGCACGTTCACCGACTTTACAGCAATTACCCCTAGAGTAATGAGAAATTTAAATAGGGTTTCAAAAGAGAATATTAATAATACGAGATAACCAAATAGGTTATTGTTCGGAAGTAAAATATAAAATGCACCCTAGTTAAAAAAACACAATGATATACAAAATATAAATAATTGAACAGACTGCTTGGGGGGGGGGGGGGGGGGGGTTCTTTGGTCGAGAGTGGTTAAGATCGTTGCTAAAAAACGCTATAGGTTCGAATCCCCTGCTACTCACGAAACGTCGCTGGTTCTACTCAGTGACTGGTGCCTGAAATAAGTCTGAGGTTTTCCTCCACCAGTTAAACTTGTCATATGACCATTACAATGTTGTAAAGTCTAAAACCCCACACCCCCTCAGCCCATCTCCCCATTCCGAAAAAAAACTGACTAATGAGTTTATATATAAAATCTACCTTCAGTATCTCGTATCCAGAAAAAACCGTGTGTAATTGTTCCTGAGCAATGGTTTTCCTGGAACAATACTCTATACAAATACTTGTATCTAAGAATTTTACTAGTCCGACAAAGTATGAATTATTCCACTAAATTTAACAGATTTGTTTCAATCTGTTTAAAACTGTTTGCAAACTCTGAATTTCAGCATTTTTATGCACACCAAAATCATGAAACAAAATATCGAGATGAATGAACAAGAAGATTCCTGGTCATAATAAACAATTTTAGAAATGTAATTTTATTCTTAGATAAACTGTTAACACAGAATCTTTCCTCTATATACACGTGATTATTCTCATTCTCTTAACGTTTCATGCTATTTCCAAATCCTAACATGTACTCTAAAATAAAGCAAGCGTCTCGAGATGGATTGAACTCATAACCAAACATATCGTTAAGTGTAATATCCACGAATTTAGAGCATATTCGTTTTGGCACTGCACGTTTTATACCCCGTTTATAGTCCTCTTAAACTTAAACAACACTAAAGTTCAGTGCAAAATTTACAGCGAGTTTCGCTTGTGATTTGGTTTTATTTTATAATAAGGGTTTTATGAAGAAGCTAGACATACAAAAATGAAAATTTTGTTATCTTTAAGAATGCTTTCACGTAATTTATTACCTTATTAATGGCTGTTTTTTATTACTGATAACCTAATGTTCAAATAAAGATTAAAGTATAATCCACGTGAGCGTTAACCTACATGCTCTTTCTTTTTCTCAGAAACGAAAATAAATAATTTGATATAAAGCGAAATGTATATATTTTGTACAGATTCAAGGTCACTGTTTTATTTATAGTTTGAAAATACATCTCGAGTCCGCTTCATTTAATGTCTTTTTATTTAACAATATAACAATATCCTTTTATAGCCCTGTATACAACAAAATACCTGCAGCATTTAATTATTGTAACTGACGTAAAACAATTAATAAAGCGGAAGATTCTTAATGGAATAGTTAACTGTTGTTATTGTTTTCTGATGTTTTATATATATTGTTTAGAAGGCCACATCTAAAATTAAGGTATATTATTCGTTTTCCACGACGAAATATTTTCATGTGTTACCCTTTTTAAATAAAGATATTATTATTATTATTCCTGGATATCTGTTCTTGGAACTGGCCTGTACTAGGCCATAGGTGTAAAGTTAATTGCTCAAGGAACACTGAAAGGGTTTGAACAAACGCGACCAGCAATATAGATTAATAGTGTTATTTCGCTTTGTAACGACAGTATTGCGTTATATCGCTTGCTTAATATTCCTAACAGGTTGGGGAATCCTAATATGTGTATATATTTGACCAATTTATAATAATAATACAAACAAAAACCTGAAACACAATATTTTCAGAATCGATGCATAATATGCGAGGTTTTCCACGAAATTGCTAAATTCAGGTTATCTCAAGTCGATAGTTTATGTATTACAAATGACAATGTAAATAAAAGCCAAACAGGATTGGCATGACTGTGTATCTGACATAATATACGTTTTTTTTGTGTCATTTATAATCCCGAAACTGCGCCATCTTATCTTCGTTGTCGGCATTGCTCAGTTTGTTTATTTAGAGGTTTAAACAGTTTTTGGAAGGAAATTTTTTCAAAAAAAAATTTCCTTTCTATAGTATCGGTCTGCCTATATCAAAAAGAACGAACAACACCTAATTGCATTCTGTTTAAGCTCAATAGAAAATAAGTAGTTAATGCGACCAAGAAAGTAGTGCAGCAGAACTATATGTATACTTTCAAACGTGGATGACTTGAAGAAAAAGCTGATGTTCAAAAAAACTTGAAATGATGATATTCAATGTTAGCTAACATCAATGGAACATAATCTTAAACGTGTACGAAAAAAAAACATCAGTATTATTACGCATTAGGCCAAAGAAAAGTTTGTACCCATGTACCCATGTACAATAAATTGAATATAAATAAGGTGTAATTTTGTAGCAGAGATGCTGAAAAATTCACATGTAAGTCAACCGAAGGGAAATGAAAGTATTTATTGTATATATTTAGCAATTTATTGAATAGCATTTTATGCCACCGCTGATTTTTTTTACGTCAATAACTCAAGAGGAAACAATGGATACAATATGTGGCATTAAAAAAGCGTACTATTTTCGCAAAAAATGGTTCGCAAACTTTCATAGAATCAAAGCGTTTGAAACAAAAATATTATTATATAAATAATAAAAAAACAAGATAACAATACAAGTCTTTCAAAGGTATTCTGGAATTAACGGATGCAATTTGGTAAAACTTGGTTTTGACTAGTAGGGCACACCCGCCATTGTTCGGACCATCGACAGAATAACGTTCGTGTTTTTCAGATTTCTCCATCCAAGACAAAGATTTGCTGATGAATAACATCGCAAAGGTTTGTGGAAATGCTTTTATTTCTTTGTTCAAACTCGTTTTGTGTTTGCAGATGTTAATTTGTTAGACAAACGAAATTAGGTCAAGGATTGTTTACATTATTGAATTTACAGGTAAACTCGGCCCTATACCAACTCGGGACAGGTCAACTCGGTCCTCTTTTAAAACCATAAAGCCTATTAGGATATAGATTGTTTAGTTAATAAAATATTGTTTGAAATTATCTTTAAGATAAATAATTATCTTAAGAAGAGATATCAAGACAATATATGTTAAATATTAATCAATAAATAGAGTTTTTAGATTGAATTTTTGTGACAATGAATTTTATTGTATTTAATACTGTTTGTTTTTTAATATGGCAAATGCTTGTTTAACAATATTTTTTACAAAAAAATCTGGAGTAGCATAAAATGCGTTTAAATTGTAAATTCTTTCTTTCTCTACAATTTCACATACTTTTCAATATCCTTGAGTAGATGTCTGTTAGTGTGAAAATGTTAAACCATGACAGTTATGATGAAAACATATCAAAAGTAAGAAAAGTAATCATTATCAGTAATTATGTAATTATTGGCCGAGCTGTCTCGAGGGCCAAAAACGTTTAAGGGCCAATCTGACCCTGATTCGAATTTACAGTGTTGACTGTTGTGAAGGATTTGCTTTTACATTTCTATTGTATATAGACTATCTATTAACATAGAAATAAGTTTATAATATGTTATATTCAATTGTTGTGTACAATTGATATTCGATAACTGTATAAAAATTTATCATGGCCCTCTTGATTTTTATTTGGCGAGGTCCGAGGACAGGCAGCCTTTCGCACAGACTGCAATTTGCAGTTGGTATAGTAATTTTTAGTGTTTGATGATCAGAAGATTTTTTTCCTTCTGAAAATCATGGACTTGAACAATTCAAATCTGTTTGAAAGCGCAAAGAGAAAGAGACTGAAAATTAATTTATTATTTCTATGGACAATATTGATGTAATAAATTTGTAATAAAACATGTGGGTCAATTTCCAGCAATAATTGAATCATGACAAAGTATTTTTAATAATTTTATTTAACTTGTGGCTACTTGAAAATTTCATGCTGGATGTTTGCTTACCATTACATTTTGCATAAGAGCTCTATGATTGACATTAAAGTCCACGGGCCAATTCATTTCTGATATATCTATAATCTTTCCGATATCTTGTTATGATATAAATGACTGAACATCATTGTAGAATTATAAGGAAAAAATATATAATATATGTTCATTCTTTGTAAAAATGTTAGAAGACTTGCAAGTTACCGACTTTATCATTGCATTTATTTATTATTGAAAAAATGCTGAACAGCTAGTCTCAACAGTGTTTATAGGCTAGAATTTTCAGTTTGCATTAGGGCCAAAATTATTAAATATATTGTTAGTCATGACGGCTTTCCCATTGCTGTCATCAAACTTTAACCTTGTTCATAACTTTTTCAGATCTTGGTGTATTGTCTTCATACTTGGCCACAACAACCCTTCAAATAGACCAGACTAAACTAAATTAACTTGACCACCATATTAACATTCAAGGTAAATGTCTAAATTTTCTTGATTTTTGCTATTAGTGGCTATAATTTGTTATTTTTGAATGGATTGTCTTCAAACTTGAACAACAATCTTTCAGGATAGGACCTGACTCACTCATAAATGTCCTTGAAGCTTTTGTGATCAGAAGTTGTACAGAATAATACAAACCCAGAGCAATTTCATTCACTTGGTTTTTTGCAACTTCTGAGAAAATGGATTTTAAAGATAGTTGTTTTCTTGAAATTTCAGGACAGTATAGTAGATAGTAAAGACATTTAATACATACTGTATATACACTATAATTACTATAGTATACTATAAAAATCTTTATGCTTGGACAATTTTGAACAAATTGTTTCTTAAACAGTGTAAGAAATTAGGATTTGAATCGACTAGGCTGGTCAGACTACTAGATTGGAATATTCACTTGTCCAAAAGACATTTCACTAGCACGATTCATTTGTTCAAAACAGTTGTTTATATTGCCTCTGAAAATACAGTAGCCTGGTCGGGCTTGTTACTGTGAAAAGTTGATAGCCCGAGGAGAAATTTAGTAGTCGGACTCTCAGACTACTGCTAATTTCGAACACTGCTTAAATTATTGATTTGATATTAACTAACATAATTATTGGGATACTATATGTATATCTAATAATAATTATATTTTATGTTTCAGAAGTTCGGCCTACATGTCAGATTTATGAATGTGAACAGCAGGATATCGATTTTAAGGATGCTTTAGGGTCAATGACAATGAAATCACGAGAGATAAAGGCTAAAATGTGAGACTGTCAATCTGACTAACCTTGAAGTGAACAAATGGAAAAAATGTCTCTTTCAATAGCATGGGCTTTTAAGGAAGAGGTACATGATTATTTAGAAGTATTTGTATATGATATTTCTTAATTATTATATTCTAATAGCTTTTTTTTTCTTGACTTGTTTAAAGGCTGACACAGGACAGTTTATTTTAAGTCAGTGAGCTTCGGTCACTGGATAGACTATTGTCACAAAAAGCCAAATTTATAAAAAAGAATTACAGTGTATTTAAATATCTTATACAAGAAATTAGGAACAAAATTAATTGCAAGAACAATTGTGACATGTAACATGTATTTAGGATTTCAGCTTTCTTTTCCTTTTTACCTCAGGACAATTCACATTAAAATATTGAATATTCACAGTAAGTAGTGTTAGCACTCCGACATATCTGACATATATGATCATCTTATCATCACTTAGCTGTCTATAGCTTATCAGAATCACTCACATTTATGAATTTAAATAATTTTGAAAAAATTGCTGCTTAGCAAATAGATAAAATACTTGGGGTGTCTGTGACTGATTGGTTTAGTTTCTTGATTTTAAACCTTTAAGCCTTTCACTGCTGTAAGTTCGTTCTCGGCAAGGGTTTACAAGTGGAATTTTAATTTTGCAATTAACTTTTTCTAAACAAATATTTCAGGAAACAGAGGCGCTTATATGATAGAACAGTAAAAGCAGGAGTGATAAGGAAAGATACATGTAGAATAAGATGTGTCTTCATGTCTGAAACACTAAAGAAATAGAAATATTGTGGTTTTATAAACTTTAAAAGAAATTGGAATATCAGGAGACTGCCTGCCCTTTGCAATGTTGGATAATGAGTTCTTAGATGTGATGTCGAAAGCCTCATGAATATAGTACCATGACTTAATCTAATTAGAAAAAGAAATGACATTGAGGAGAAAACTAGTCACCAGTCTTTCACCAAGAACTAGAGATAACTTTCCAATATTTGAAATATCATAATATGTATAGAACTTTATTGAGCCACCAGTTTTTCACCAGGAAAATAAGATCACATTAACTATTTTTAGCTCACCTGTCACAAAGTGACAGGGTGAGCTTTTTTGATCGCTTTTCGTCTGGCGTCCACTTTAAATGACATCTCCTCATAAACCACTAAGCCAATTTCATCCAAACTTCACAGGAATGTTTCTTTGGTGGTCACCTCTAAATATTGTTCATAGAACGCTGGTTGCCATGGCAACCAAAAGAAAAAAAACTTAAAGTATCTTCTTTTAAAGAACCTAAAGAGCTAGAGCTTAGACAAAGTATCTTCTTTTAAAGGTATGAAACATCTTCTAGTGAGTGTCTACCAAGTTTGTTCAAATAAAAGCCCTGGGGGTCAAAATTGGCCCCGCCCCAGGGGGTCATTGAATTCCCCTATATGCATATAGTAAAAACTTAAAAATCTTCTTTTAAAGAACCAAAATAGCTAGAGTTTAGATATCAAGCATGAAACATCTTCTTGTAAGTGTCTACAAAGTTTGTTCAAATAAAAGCCCTGGGGTCAAAATTGGCCCCTCCCCGGGGGTCATTGATTTTCCTTATATGTGTATAGCAAAAACTTAAAAACCTTCTTTGAAAAAACCTAAATAGCTAGAGTTTAGATATTAAGCATGAAACATCTTCTGGTAAGTGTGTACAAGGCCCCACCCCAGGGGTTTCATTGTTTTTAACTATATGTGTATAGTAAAAACTTAAAAAATCTTCTTTTAAAAAACCCAATGAGCTAGAGCCTAGATGTTTAGCATGTCGACCAAGTTTGTTCAAATTTAAGCCCTTGTATAAAAATTGGCCATGCCGGGGTGGGGGGTGGTGCAGAGGTCTTTGTTTTACATTATATGTGTGTAGTAAAAACTTAACATCATGAAACATCTTCTAACGGGTGTCTTACAAGTTTGGTCAAATAAAAGCCCTGGGTTTTTAAACTGGCCCCGCTCCAGGGGCCTATATACACATGGCCCTCTTGTTCAACAATCTTGTTGAAATATGTATGAACAAATCTTTATCAACTTCAAGCTTTTATTGAAGGAATTTGAAATAACTTGGCAGAAATGATTGTTATAATAAGACAATGAGTCATGTCAACAACCAGACCCCTACCTCCAGGGTCAAGGTCGCACTTGCTCATTCAAGGTCAACTTGTCTTTTTGAGAGTATATCTCGTGTCTGGTCTTCCCTATCTCTGAAGGGATTTTGTAAATTCTTGCCACAATTGCTCACAATAATGAGAAGATGTGTCATGCTCAACAACAGGTCACCTGCCTCCAAGGTCAAGGTCACACTTGGAGGTCAAATATTAGCATAGCCTGTTACAGGGTATATTTCGTGTCCGGTCCATAACTTTGTCATTTATTGAAGGAATTTGAAATAACTTGGCACAAATGTTTGTTATAATAAGACGATGATGTGCAACAACCAGACCCTTACCTTCAGGGTCAAGGTAACACTTGCTCATTCAAGGTCAAGATTGTCCATTTGAGGGTATATCTCGTGTCCAGTCTATACCTTTCTTATCTTTGAAAGGATTTTGTAAATACTTGCCGCAATTGTTCACAACAATGAGATGATGTGTTATGCGCAACAATCGGTCACCAACCTAGAAGGTCAAGGTCACACTTGGAGGTCTAAGATTAACATAGCCTGTTATAGGGTATTTTTTTGTCTGGTCCATAACTTTTTTGTATATCAAAGGATTTTGAAAACACTTGGCACAAATATTCACTATAATAAGACAATGTGTCAAGCGCAACACCTGCATCCCTACCTCCAAAGTCAGGGTCACATTTCGAGGTAAAAAATTAACATAGTCTTTTAAAGGGTATATATTGTGTCCAATGTAGAACTTCTTCATAGTTCAAGGGATTTTGAAATAACTTGGCACAAATAGTCACAATAATAAGACGATATGTCAATTACAACACCTGCACCCCTGCCTCCAAGGTCAAGGTCACACTTACATGTATAAAGGTAACAAAGTCTGTTATATGGTATATTTTATGCCCCGTCCATAACTTCTTCATAGATGAAGGGATTTGGAAAATACTTGGCACAAATAGTCACAATGATAAGATGATATGTCATGCACAACACCTGCACCCCTACCTCCAAGGTCAAGGTCACACTAAGAGGTCAAAGCAGGGATTTTTTCCAGGATTTTGGGAACATAACCCATACCCATGCAACTGAGAATTTCAGCGATATTTTGTTAAAATTGGGAAAAAATGTATGACTGAAAGTTTGCAGTGATTAAATGTATGCAAGCAATCACTGCCTAGGATGGCTTCTTCAAACATTTAAACACTATTACAGTAAAGAAGCCCTTATTTTCAAAGATTTTAGAATTCTTTATTCAATATTTATATTTTTGTAACTTTCAATTGGGAATATTTTCCTTTGGATTGGGAAAATAATATACTATTTTCAATTGGGAATATGTCCCAATAACGGCTATAAAATAAGCCAAAAAATCCCTGCAAAGCATAACATGATATATTTTGAAATTCAGTATTTCATTTGATTTCTTTAATAAATTTATTGTTGCATTTGCAGATCCAGCATTGATCATAATTTTGGACTGAAAATCCTTAGATCCCTGCCTCAATCTTTTGAAATAGCACAATTTTTTGCTTCATATAAAACTTCCCTGAGGCGGGGGACGTTGGTATCTCTGTTACAAATTCTTGTTTATTTTACCAACAAGTGTTCACTTTCAAACTTTTGATCATTGTATTTTTTGTACTACCTTTTGTATAATGTTGTATTTTATTTATGTTCTTATTCTAAGATTAGCATGGCCAACTCATGAAAGTCCAAATGATGGTCAACTTTTTTTATGTTTTTTTTTGTTTTGTTTTTTTTTAACATTATTTACTTTATTTTTACAGTGTTCCTCTGAATCATACATTCTGTTTTAGTTAAACATGCACTTCTTGTTACTTATTTTCCCATACTTCATATTACATTGATCACGGTTTGATGTGATGGCTCATAAAATTGTAACAATATCATTCTTTGTACTTTACCTAGTAATTTATGAAAACAGAAATGCTCTTGTAAGCTAACCAATAAGATTTGTACACCTTTTAAGGATTCAATTTATAACTGGTATATTCAACAATGTATCAAAACACAGGTCAAGTATGATGTCAGTTACATTCCACAAAATTTATACAACATAAGGCAGTAAGGGCATAGTCTGACTTTTTTTGGTTATTTTTATATATTGTATGTGCCATTTTCAATGTGTAAATTACTTTTTTTGTTCTCTTGAATAAAATTTAACTTTTAAATACATTTTTTAAAAAACATCCATGAAAATTAGCATGAATTTGGAGGCATATTGCTATTAAGATTAATCCTGTTGAATTTCTTGACTGGACTTGAAAAGCTTGAACATTATTGACTGTAAATAATAGATTAAGAGAATATCAAGATTCAAATTTAAGTCTGCTAACTGCACCATAGGGACATGTTAAAGTATCGCGCTTAAAGAAACGTAACGACCGGCAAATCCTCTATCTTGAAAATTCTATTCTTGAAAGCGCTCCTACTGTAACACGTTCCCTACTGTGAACTGTTTCGAGCATGGTCAGACTGCACAGACGTTCGGATTGGTCTGGGAAAGGCTAATCACTTCCAGAACTGATTAAAAATTTTGTATCGATATATCGATATATCAAAAGCTGAAAATCGACGATATATCGATATATCGAATTCAAACGTTTGTAATTTAAATACATGTCATGAACTGTTATCATTGTGTACGCAAGCATGTGTTACACATCACAAACACAGAGTACCAAAAGAAAGTATGTTTATTCGTTATCATATTAAACATACTTCTGAAAATTAAATGCCGCAAGAAAAAGGGCTAAAAGTAACGTTTTCCCTTTCACCACAGTCACAAGACAAGAAGAAATTGGTTTAAAATTGTATTGATTTTCTAAATAGTTAATCGATATTCTATAGATTGTTGAATATCGATGATGTATCGATATCGCGAAACTTATTGACAGTCCTAACTATAGCAGATTATGGGTTAAAAGAAATAAAATAGGCATTGAAACAAACATTTTGTGGTTACTTGTCATGTTGTGTATTCCAAGTAGTTTCATTTTGTTGTCTTGGTGATTTATCTCTGTTCAACAGATTTAAGTTCATGTCCGTCCGTCTGTCCTTATATTTTGGTTTTATGTGGATATGTAAACAATAAGTAACAGCCTTACGTGGTTTTATTCGGACAAATAGAGCAATTGGAAAGTCACTTAAAACCTTAATGTTTGAACTCCGTCTATCGGTACGTAGACCGACGTTTGTTCGTCCGGGCCAATTTCCTATGGCTTAGGTTCCGTCCGCCATACCCTTATACGGAGAGTAAGTTGAAAATCATTGTCAAAGGAATTTCCTTAAACCATCGATCAGTAAGAAGATTCCATCGTCCAAGAACTATAACTTTACCTTGCTCAATTTCTGATTTATCTCCCTTTAATTTAATCATGCTTATCCGGAGTATACTTTCTAAACTATCAATGATATTTCTCGAAACTTCAAGCATTTAATGGGACAAATAGAAAAAAGTGCTGTGCGCCACACTGTGTCAAAGAACGATAACACTACATACTTTAGTTTTCAATTTTCTGTTTTTATAATGCTTCTCCGTATAATAACTTTAAAAGTATCATAGGATATTTGACAGTGATAAAATAGGGCATCATAATTCTACCTTGCTTAAATTGTAAATTGTCTATCTTTTATGATACCGAAAATGTTAAATAATGCTTGTCTGGAGAAAAACTTTTAAATTATCGATGACATCTCAAAAAATATCATTTTAAATTTGTATAATTTTTATAACCAGAACCGAAGGTTCAGGGTGAGCTATTAGTATCAATTAAAGGGGGTGGGTGCCTTGGTCAGTAGCATCCTTGTGACAGTCACACTTAAATTTGCTTATATAATTTTACTTGGCCCCTTTAATTAAGGGACAACAGAGCTAAACATAGAAAAAAAAAACTGTAAACATTCTCCCCTGCTGAACTAATTGATGGATGGTCACCAAATTTTGTCTGTAGCATTCTTTGGTAGTTTTTTTTTATCAAATTTGCTCATATTAATTTGATTGGCCCCTTGTAGGGGCCACTAAAGCTAAAAACCTTTAAACATCTTACAGAAATAATTGATGGATGATCACCAAATTTTGTCTGTAGCATTCTTATGTAGTCTTTTTACAGCTCATTTTTTCATTTGAAAAAATGCCATCATATATTTGCTACAAACGTTTTAGTTTTCCACTTGCAAGAAAGAGTTTATAAATTACAGGTTAGGAGAATGGTTGCACTATCACTGCGGATGATCACGTGACCAAAATCGTACAATTGGCTCATAAAATGGCGACCTAAACGCTCGGTAAAAGCAGTGAAATTGAGGTAAGCATACAGTTAACGTTAAATTTATCTGTAAAACTAGGCCGCACAGAAAGGAAGGAAATTGTTCTTGACGGGCAAAATTCCAATTGTGCACAAGTTGTCATTGCTATTTTTGCTCAAAATGCGTTTCTTTTACTGAAAACAACGTATTTTAGTACCTGTTCGGCCCTTTTACTCAACACCAAAAACAACTTTTTCGACTTTCAGGCCTAAACAGAGAGAGCTACAAAGTAACCAATAACAGAACAGTACGTGTTTTTTATACAGGGGTTCCGTGCGGCCTTGTTTTACTGATAAATTTAACGTTAACTGTATGCTTACCTCAATTTCACTGCTTTTACCGAGCGTTTAGGCCGCCATTTTATGAGCCAATTGTACGATTTTGGGCACGTGATCATCCGCAGTGACTATCCTTGTCCAAGATACTTTATTACTAATAAATAAGTAAGTAAATAAGAATCTTGTACACGTACTGAATGTATTATTGTGTCTCAATGGACAAAACATATCCTTGTGAAATATTTAGACTTATTCAATCGATGATTTTAGACATTTATCTGCTACATTCTAAACTTTTCCAACAAAAGTTTCATTAGCTACACATGATGCTACTTTTCTAAATATCATTAACGTTAAATATCCAATAGATGCACAAAACCGTAATTTTTTAAGTATTTTATCAAAGTTTTTCTAAGTTGTATATTTGATGTGAAATATACAAAAATAAAAACAAATATGATTAAATAGTAAGTAAGTAAGTAAGTAACGACTTTATTTAATGAGGCTAGCACATTCGGTTTCCCGATCTTCCATGTGGGCCTCAGCATATACATACAATGTAACATAACAACATATAAATACAATGTGACATAAATTATATACAGTCAACATTTACAAAACATCATTTAAGAAATAAACTGTTAATTTTTTTTTTTTTTTTTTTTTTTTACACTTTGTGGCATTTTCAAAAACTTCAATATTGAAAAATACAACTAATGTTAAAAAAAAACAACACAGTTAGTCATCCTGGTATCAATATTAGAAAGCTATGTACACAATAAAAATGGAAAGAAATGACATATATAAAAAAATGGAAAAATGACATATATAATTTAAATGGAAAATTGCCAATGAATATAGTTGGTTTGAATTTTTTTTCAAAAGTTTCAGATTTTCTAACATGTATTGGAATGTCATTCCATATTTGTAGGCCCAGAGTAATTAAGTGTTTTCCTAAAACACTCTGTTTTTGGTTTAGGTACAATTAGTTTTTCATTTTGGACAGATCTCAAATTAAAGTGGTGTCTGTCATTTACTGTTTGAAAATTTATTTTTCATATACTTAGGAAAGGATGGTTCATTTATTGACTTATACATTAGAATTGCCTTTTTGTATCTGATTCTTTGGTCAAAGGACATCCAATTTAGTTCTTTAAATAGTTCATTTGATGGGGCTTCAAAATTTTGTCCAAAATTATTTCTAGCAGCTCTTTTTTGAAATTTGATTATTTGTGAGAGTAAATCACTGCTGCAGTTTCCCCAAATAGTGCAGCAGTAGTCCAAATGTGGCAGTATATATGCATTGAAGAAAAGTTTTCTAGCATGAAGATCAAGATATTGTTTAATTCTAAGAAGCAAAATAGAGCTGTGAATTGCATTTTTTAATAATTTTTTGAATGTGTGTTTTCCATTTTAGATTTTTTGTCAACGTAGACTCCTAGTACTTTTTCATTGTCTGTAAATTCTATTTCTTGATTGTGAAGGTTAAGAGAAGGTGTTGAAGAATGCTCAGATTTTGAATGCTTTATTGAGAAATTCATAGCTTTAGTTTTTTGTGCATTTAGTATCATTGAATTTTGTACACACCATGTGCTTATACTATCAAGATCTGATTGAAGATTATCTTCTACTTCCCTTATAGTATTTCCAGTTGAAGTTAGAGAAGTGTCATCTGCAAACATATCAGTATTTGACTTTTTTATATGAAGATGTATGTCATTTATGTAAATTAAGAATAGTAGGGGCCCTAGGACTGAGCCCTGGGGTACTCCGGAGACAACTTCAGCAGATTCTGATAAAACACCAGACACATTTACTTTTTGTGACCTGTCTGACAGATATGATGTAATCCAAGAAATAGTATGTGAGGAAAGATGATAGAAGGGTAGTTTTTCAATAAGAATTTTGTGATTAACTAAATCAAAGGCCTTAGATAAGTCCAGAAAAACAGCTCCAACAATTTTGCCATCATTAAGTGCATTTATCCAATTATCAATTAAATTTGTAAGTGCTGTTTCACATGAATGGTATGCCCTGAAGCCTGATTGAGCTGTGTAGAGGAAATTGTTTGTTTCTAAAAATAGCTTCAAGTTGTCAGAAACATGTTTTTCAAATATTTTTGAGATAAGTGGGAGAACTGAAATTGGTCTATAGTTGTTTTTGTCAGACTTGAGGCCTTTCTTGTAGATTGGTGTTACCTTTGATTGTTTTAACTGTGTAGGAAATTTTTCCCAGTTTTAATACTTAAGTTTATTATGGTACAAAGGGGTTTATCTATGACACTTGCTGCCGTTTTTAGAAATTTTGCACTAATGCCATCTAAGCCTGTTGCTTTCGTAATATCGAGACTGTTCAGTTTTTGTTTTACATAACTTAGTTCAACATAGGGATTTCAAATTTATTTGGTTGATTTGTGCTTTCAGATTTAAAAGATTCTTGAAGAGCAATTTTCATTTTATGTGATAACTCAGTTATATTTTCAGCTTTTTTAAATACATTTGCAAAAAAGGTGTTAAATGTTTCTGCTGTTAACTTTTGATCAGTTATTGGCAAACCATTTTCATCATTTATATAGGATGTCTGTTGACCATCTGTTTTTCCTGATAGACTTTTCAAGTTTTTCCAAAGTTTTTTTAGGATTTTTTCTTATTTGAATTTATCTCATGGTAAAAAAATCTGTTTTTGCTATATGGATGAGTTTTTTCACTTGTGTCTTCCAGTACTTGAAGTCATCAACATTATTTTTCTTTTTTGCATAGTCCCTACTATGTATTGCATTAGCTATATCTTCATTGAACCAATCAGCTTGATTTTTATGTTTAACTCTTTTTTGTTTGTATGGAGCATGTATGTTAAGAGTTTCTAAAAATAATTTGTTAAAAGTGTCTAAAGCATCATCTGGATCATTAAACATATCAATAAGGGACCATGGTTGTTTTGACAGATCATTTAGGAATGTATCAGCATTAAAGTTCTTTAAGTACCTGTATTTGATTATATCATGCGTTGGACCCTTTTTAACATTTTTATTTGTTCGTCTAGTAAAAATTATTGGAAAATGATCACTAATTGAAAATACAGGTACTGCAGTGTATGAGATATTTTGTGGTTGGTTTACTATAGATATTGGTCAATAATAGTTGATGATGCTGGTGTAACTCTAGTAGGTTGTTTAATAAGTGAGAAAGATTAAAAGTATGATTATATTGTTCCATGTTGAATTATTTGAGCCTGAAGCACCAAAATTGTAGTTAAGATCTCCAAAAAGAATTACTTCTTTGTCTTCAGTAAATATTTTATCAAGGACCTCCTCAATTTTATAATTCCATGAAGTTAATGATGAAGGTGGCCTGTAAATGTATCCTAACAATAAAGGCTTTTGCTTGTCAAGTTTCATTTCAAGCCATATTGACTCAATTTCCTCAGAACTGTAGGTCAACTCTTAGTTCACATGGCAATGAAGACTTCACATATAAAACAATTCCCCCACCATTTGATTTCCTGTCACGCCTAAAGAGTTGATAATTATTTAAAGTTAACTCTGAATCAGAAAAAACATCACTTTAAAAAGTTTCTTGAATTCCTAATACATCAATGTCAGGATATTTGTCTACTAAATATTTGATATCGTAAAGTTTGGGGTAAAGATAGTGAAATGTTTAAGTGGAAAAAGTTTAGTCCTTTCTTATCAAATGTTATTTCATTCAAAGTGGGGAGTATATCAACTCCTTCATCACATTCTAATAAAGATGAGTTCTCTTATATTGTTCCTTGAGTGTTGTTCACTTTTTATTTTGATCAGTAACGTTTATCAAACTTTCATCTATGTCATTCTCTAATGACGGTGCGGAACCATCCATGTTGGCCAGGGATTCCATACTCCACGATAAACTCCAAAACCTGGGATGAGGATTTGGAATTCTCCGAGCATTTTTCTGTCTGCTGTTGGCATGTCGAAAATTTACATGCGTCTCTGGAAGAGTTGCTTACTTGTTGTCTGGAACTGTTGTTTTCGATGCCAAGGATTTTTCTTATGCCTGCATTGAGTTGTTTTCCCAGTACAGTCGAACCTTCTCTATTGAGATGAACTTCATCGTAATAGAGACTTTGATCAGTCTTACCATTTTTCAAGAATGCACTAGAATTGTCAATAAAAAGGAACCCATTGGTCTTGCAGAGCTCTTCTATTAGACTATTTGTTTCAGCAATATTTTTCCTTGACAGCAGATCTCTCTTTTTTGGCAGAATAGATGATATTCCAATTCTCACTTTTTGGTTGACTGTCTGTAGTAAATTAACTATATCTTTGAAGTCTTCACAGATAGTTATGCGGAGAGTTGGCATTGGAGATATTGTTTATGCCTGTATGCAAGATGATTAGGTCAGTTTCTTCTGTTAATTTTCGATGTGAATCTATCATCTTCAATTTTTGTCTTGAGGTCCTGAACAGTTGCACCACTGGTTGATTTTATGGTGACATTAATCTGATTAGTATTTCATTTTTTTTCTTATAAGTCCTTTAGGGACTGAATCTCCAGAATGAGTACTTCATGTTTTTTCTTCGCTGGGCTCACACTTCTGTCTGGAGTAGATAATTCTGTGTTATTAGGACTTCTGCGTGTTTCTGAAAGAGATTGCTTCCTTTCATCTATACAACTGATATTCTGTTTGGTAGACAGGTGTTTTTCATTTACAGGATTTTGGGTTTCATTTCTGATGATCTGAAGTTATACTTTTACTTTTTAGAAGTTGTATCTCATGCTTAAGAGAGTATATGTCAGATTTAGCTGCAACATTTTCTGTTCTTTTCTTTTAACCAGTTCAAGTGAGTTTGCAAGTTTCCTCGAAATTGCTCTTTCATGGAAACAAAATTTGACTGAAGTGTGTCAATAGTATCTTGTTGTTGCTGTTTCATAGAAGCCTTTTCTCGGAATACTTTATTTTCCAGTTTTAAGGACTGATTTGTCTGTCTTTGTTTTATAATTTCTTCTTCTTCAAGAAGAAGAATTTTTGCATTTTGGTCACTTTTGAAGTCTTTTAAGTCTTTGATTGACGACTTAAGTTCTGCATTTTCAGTTTTGAGTATGTTATTTTCTGTGAGACATTTGCTGCATTTTATGTTTAAGTTCTCTTGAAAGTCACACTGCACAGAGAAATCACATTTTTCTATTAATGAAGAAGTAAATGTTCATTAGAGTAAGACAAGATGGATTTTTACTGTTGTTTTTTCACTGTTTTTTGTCAGATTTCTGTAGTTCATTGGTGTATTCCATTTTGACTGTCCAATTTTGTGTAGCTTTTGTTCGAGGTTTCTTGCCAGTTTCTTGAATGATAGTTAATTGCCTGTTAAATTCTTGGGTAATCAACCTTCTGCCCACCCCTTTTCTCAGTTTTCTTAGCCTTTTTCAACTCTTTTCCAAGTTTTAAGTATCCCACTGTTTAGAGATGGACCAAAGATTTGCTCTAGATACAGAACTTAAAAATACCAGTTGATTTTGATTTTGGTGAGGTTCTTTTGAGGTGTCAGATTAGGACTACTGATAGGAGATGGTGTCAGAGGAAGTGAATGGTGCTGTTTTGAGCCTTTTACATTCGGGTGTTGAGATTGTTGGCATTTGAGGCATGATGGGTTGCATTTTTTGATCATTGGTATCATTGTTACATTCAGATTGTTTTAAGTCACATTTTATATGCTCAAGGATAGTGTCCAACCATTTTACTCTGCATCCAGTTCCTTGGATCAACATTTTCATTGTCTTGTTATATACTGTAATAACAACTTCATGTTTGATTAGAGTTATTGTTGTTGTTAGCCCAGTATTGTCCTTTGTAGGTTCTAATTGATACATAGACTTTAAAATTTGAAGCATTGGTTTTGCATGTGTTGATTGTTGAAAAAAATGTAATAGAAATATTGTCACTTGTTGGGCTGACATACAGATCAAATAGATTATCAACTGTTATGTTGTCAGACAGTCATTGTTTGAAAAATCCTTTCAAAATCCTCCATATCCGTTGATGAATGATTAGAAGCCATTATCACAGATTGTTGTTAACACTTTAGTCCATTAAATATTTAAAGCCATTTTAGCACCTTTTGTTTGCAAAAAGATTAGTAGGAATTTCAGGTATTTTGAATTGAGAATTTATTAATCCTTCTTATATAAAATAAATGAGAAAAACACAGTGGAACTGAACAGTTTTCATCCAATTATGAATTTTCTAATCACAAAAACACTTTTTAATGTTAATATTAAGATGCAGAATTGTCCAAGGAATTTAGTCATATAAATATATCCAATTTCTTTAAAGGTAATCCATTTTTATTTGAAAGAATAGTGAGAGCAAAAAATGCACGTCTGCACAGTTTGAAAGCTAAAGACCCAATCCATAATATATTTATTTCGTGCAATCTTGAATAAACAAACATAAAAAATAATGGTATATTCTTTTCTTGGTCGTCTTTTACGGCCTTTTCCATGCTCGTAGATATTCGTATAACGTTAGTCACATGTGCTTCATCAAAAACTAAACTGTAGGATAATTTTTTTGTCTCTGTTAGATACAAAAAATCACTGTTTCTGTTCAACATTCGTTGTTTGTACACAAACATATCACTGTGGATTGAAAAGTTAATTAAACAGCAGAAAAGTACCAAAAATCGTTATAAAGAGACTATTGAATGAATGTAGGTTCCATACTGTAACAAGTTGAATAAAATTACATGTATATACGAGCCACTGGCGAGCACAATGTTTCAAATATAATGTACTATAATTATATTTCATAACAATATACGAAACAACAATTTTCAGTAAAAAAGAATCACGTGTATGCTATTCTCAAGCCTTTATACGATACTACCTCGATTAACGCATATGACATAGGGATCACTGGATGCTTAACGTATATGTTGTCACGTTCACTCTTAGCTTAACGCGTTTGACGTCAAGTTCACGCTTAGCTCGCTTAACGTATTTGACATCACGCTCGAATATATGTGCGGTTGTTGCCCGAGTCAAAAATGGCCAACTTTACTATACGGCACCATTCATTCATTAAAATGAATTTTGGAAGTAAAATAATTCCTTAACACTTGTCTTTAAGACTGATTTTTACAGAAATAAAAAACTCCGGTTAAATATTTCCTATATGTTTCCTACATAAAATATTTCTAATGATAAACCAGACTGTTATTTTATTCCATTATTTTTTATTTACAAAAGCTTTGATACTGTCATCCTTTGCCTGCCACCATGGAGCGGTATGCGCGGGTGATTTGGTGCCCGTGAAAGTAGAAGTAAAACATTGATCTCTGTAGGTGGCGATATTTTTGTCTTTATCATTCTCCCAGGTATGGAACATTTCTCCAGCCTTTGTAACATCCGGGTTGTAACCTGTATCCTTGCATAAGTCCGCAATATACGCTGTCTGGAAATCTATGTCATCATGCGCGTTTTTCAATTTGGAACGCTTCTCATACCATTCCTTTGAGTTTTCTTTCATCTCACTGAGTGATTTAGGTTCATTGGGAAGTTTACCGAGAATGTATCTGAAAAAAGAAAAAAAATATCTTAACAGGAAAAAAGTTTTCATCCTAAAATGTTGCTTTTCGTGCACAAAAATGTCGTCTGCTGCGAGTAGTCGTAGTAAACCCTTACCCCGCTTACTATCTTAAATGGAATTGTCCATTATTCAATCTGGACAGACGGTGAAGATTTTATTTTATTCTATAACATTTTTTTTTAAATTTCATTATTTTTTACAGGATAAAGTACAAATGTACTTATATAAAAACCCCTAATTTTAGTAAGTAACACATACATACAATATTTCGGAAAAAAAAACAGAATTTTTTACGGAAAGTGAAACCGCGTGTCTGAACAATTAAATATTCATGCGATTTCACATTACAAATAAAAACTATTTTTCCCCTAGTAAAGATTCTATGTATGGGTTCCTCACTAGAATGAGCGGGCTCTACACTTTAACCCATAAAAATTAAAGAAATATTAAAAATGTTATGGCAGTTTTCTGCCCTTACTCACAAAAACCACGTGGTATAATTTTTTTTCACATAAAAAGTATCATTGACAGAGGTGCTATAAAATTCAACACGCCAGAAAAGTTACAATTCATTCTTTGTACTCAAACAAAAATGAATTTAAACATATAATTCAATCAGAAAAAAATGTTGTGTTTTTTTGTATAAAACGAAACGCTGACAAATCTAAAAACATTGATGATAAAATGTATATACAATAAAACCCATGAAAAGGTCTACCAAAGAAAGAGACAAGGTATGGCCTTTATACCTTTATAGACAGGTGGTCTAAGACATGTGGTCTTTATTTGGAGGTTACTTTATTATGTTTAATCTATTTAGCTCTCCGCTTACTTGCAAATCCATTGAGCTTCAACATCAAACATAGTGTATGAGTAGTACTGGTCTTGTAGTCCCATGTAGAATAGTCTGCTGTCCTCACCCATGAAATAAAGCAACCCCTTATACGTATTGTCCGGAAACATGGTCAATGTCGACCTCAGACGAAGGTTGTCTTCCATAAATGGAAACGAGTACTTGTACCCTGTGCAGAGTAACACAGCGTCTATTTCCGCGCTCGAGCCATCTTTAAAAATGTGCTATGTTTCCATCGAATTTCTGACCAAAGGTCTTTCTTCAATTCCTTTTGGCCATTTAAATCCCATCGGTTTTGTTCTCCATGTGCAGATGGCACTTTTTGCCCGCGTATTTCATACATTGAAGAGACAAATCTTCTGCTGAATAGCTGGAACCAACAACCAATAGACGCTGTGTCCTTAAATTCTTTTAGCGTCACGAAAATCATGCGAATGAAGTATCCTCCCTTCGAACGTATCTAGTCCAGGGAAATCTGGGATATTAGGAACATTGAAAATTCCAGTGGCAACGATGACGTAATCAAATGATTCTTTTAATGAAGTGTCTGTTTCGAGGTTTGTGATATCAACAGTGAACTTTTTGTCTCTTTCGTTATACTCAACATGCCTCACTACTGTACTGAATCTGATGTATGGTTTCAGATTTACATTGTTGGTCCAGCGGCCTGGAAAATAAAATACATATACTAATAACTAGTAATTAGCGCATGGCTTATCAGTCATTTGTAACCAAGTCATTTAATCACAAAGCAGAGGTGATATAAGTTTTAGATTGCTCCGGATCACGGCAGTAATCCACATTGAAAGGAGTGTTTAAATTGTACACATTTGTGCATTAATGTAAGTCAAAGTCATGATCTTATTCAAGGTGACCATTAAATTATAAATTATGCCTCATCACGGGGGTTGGTGTTCAAACAAAATTGTCCAGCCGAAATGATAAAATTTAGCGTGAAATTAATATCGATCAAAGTTTTTTACCCTCTAGATAATCCCTGAGAACAGGTCTTGGTGGAAATGAGGGAATGGCTTTCCCAAAATGTTTTTCGAATGTGTAATCTGGAAATTCCAGGCATTCTTTTGGACCATTTGACCACAAATGTCTATACATACCAGAATGACATGGTTCACCATAACCATCAGTACCTGAAATAGAAATACGTAGAAATAAAACAATAAAATTAACTAGCTAGCTTTAAATTTACAAAAATCGCCGAAAAGAATGTTATAAAATTATACTTTATATAGTGGAACAGTATAAAGTGATTTATGTTTGTACAGTTTCATCTTATTTTAGATCTTAGCACATTTAAGGCATTTCTGGTGTTTAAACACTTTTCGGTGTAATTCTATCTTTCGGATCATAGAAAATTTTTCACCACTAGGTGTCGCACGCAAAAGTTTTATCTGAAAATTTTTTCACTCTATTTTATATTTTATTTATTGCTCGTCAACAGTTATTCTCAATAATTATTTATTTGGGGAATCTTATTTAATCTACCACGTAGTCGCAAATAGCTTCTGGTAAAAAAGCAGTTAGTTTTCTCGGCGACCCTGTCACAGCTTCAACGATGTCCTACTTAGGACAGCGTGGATAGCGTGGGTTTGTTACATAATTTGTATCGTTCCTTTTCATTAATCTCTTTGTTTGAGAATAGTTATGAATGTTTTGTTACTGGGCCACTCTTTTACAAAGCGCCTCCAGAGATGGTGTGGTACGAAATGTTTGTTGAATTTGAATTTAGATTCGACCGCGTGCAAGTTTATTGGCATGGAGTGGGCGGAGCTTATGTTGCGTCAAAGTCTAAAGCGAAATCAATTTGGTGCGATGTTTATTTGGTAGATGAATTGGAGATAAACTGCACAGTTTGTAGATATTGGAAGTAATGATTTATGCATTCCAAATTTGCAGCCAAATCAGTTGGTAGATAGCATTATCAGTTTTTATGTTCAAATATATTTAGTCGTGGTAGTCAAGTTGTTGTCATCTATGAATTTTACATAGAGCTGGTGACCATGTATATAATGCCAAGGCTGACACAACAAATCAGTTTTTGAAATCATATTGTGAAGACAAGCCTTCCCTAATATTTTGGACTCACAAACGGAACAACTTCAACCGTCGTTTTATTAGGGATTATGTTGCAAATGATGGGGTCCATGTTGACAACCAAAAGGGGCATGCCTCGTTACTATGCTTCAGTTAGAGGCTCCATTTTATTGGCTGAAAAAATGTTTATCACAATAAGTTTCCTGTCTTCACATGTGTATATATTTATATATATTTGTATATGTATTTCTTTTACATGTTTCTTTTCATACATTGTGTTTCAGATTATATACACTCAATTGACAAAACAGTGAATGAGTGATAGTTGTGTGGGACATTTATTTCATGCAAAGATTTGATTTGGTATAACTAACATTAAAAGATTTGCCATAGATAAGTAAGTGATAATTCTATTTGCCTTTCATTGTTGCATTATTTATGATTGTGTTGCCATACAATTCTCATCTATTCTGTTTAATTTTGGACCATTATCCTAATAAGGTCCCTGTTAACAACATTTAGTGCCCTGAGTTGGCATTGTTAATTTTATATACCGACACACATCCACCAGTTGATACCCAGGGATATTTGTTGTTATGGTTGACCATTTGAACATGGTTTGCTTCCCTGTTTATACATTTTCCTAGTCAGATATTACACCGTGCGTGTGTTTGTTTGGGGATGCACAAATTATACCATACTATTTACACTATTTATTTTAATTTTTATCACCTGCGTGTTTGAATTTTCGGTAACACTGGTTGGATACTTTTCTACCAAGTACACCTTTTACCACTTGGTTTTAACAATTGTTCCAGTCTTGGTTATATTTCACTTCATTGTACATGTAGACTATTCTTATACAATATCCAATGGGGTTATCCCAACATATTCCAAACCTATAATTAATTCTTGTAAAACATACATTTCAGAATGCCCAAAGTCGCCACCAAACAAAGCCAAATCTGGCAAGAAGCAGAAGAAAAACGTTAGCAGCAAGTTGGACAACTCATCGCCGACTGCATCAGCAAGGATGAGGAAGTGCTCAAGGTAATTGTGGATTTACTGCCTACCACGGATAAAGATGACGGTACGGCCAATTATGAAATTGAACCAGACCAGGATGTCCAATCCATGTCCACTAACCATGACCAAATGGACACTAGTGAGGATGGTGTTAGTTTAAGCACCATGGATTCTGGACCTGTTCCCCTTGATTTAAGTAACAACTCGGTGGATCTTTAGGATCTTTTTAGTCTAGTCCATCCGCCTATAGACTCAAAACTAAGGCAGCAGATATGGAATCGGGAATTTGTAGATCTGGGGGTTCTTTATTTTAGAGAAAAAAAAACATATCAAAAACCACCACAATCCAGGAATCTGGAAATAGAACGGTCACCTCTATTCAGGAGGGGTCCAAGAAACAAATAAGCACTATATTAACTTGGTCTAGAGCCTTTCAACAATACGCCGATGTGTATTGTTCCAAGTACCCTTTGGAGAGTAGCCAACTCTTCCAATATATGTCTATTATACAAAAAATGGCCCAATCTACTGATAACTGGTTGCTGTACGACACTAAGTTTAGGCAGCTAAGGGCAACCAACCCTCAACCATGGGGGATAATCCATACCGAAACATTCCTTTTTTGCTCAATTGACAAGCCAGCCAATCACAGGGTCCAAAACAACAACCATTCCTTTCGGAAATACCTCCCTCCCCACATCTTTTAAAGAAAAGGTTATTGTTGGGAATTTCAAAAAAGATCCTCTTCCTCAAAAACGTCCTGTTCTGTCAGTCACAAATGTGCAAACTGTGAAGGACAGCATGCAGCCATCTCCTGCCACCTTGATTATAAAAAAATTCAAACAACCCATCAAAACAGGTGACAAACACAGCCAAGTAATAAGGGCTTTAAGGTTATCAACCCCTATAAATGTATCCTCCCTACAACAATATCTTGATGGCTATTATCTCAAACAATCTGTAATTGATGGTTTTACTTACGGCTTTAGTTTAGGTACTGTCGGTTATGTCCCGGCCTTGTCAGCCAACAACCACCGCTCTGTCAAGGCCCAGAGGGCATTGGACTGTTTATTTAAAAAACAAGAAAGAAAGGCATATAAAGCTTATATAAGTAAAAAACATGACATAAAGTTGGACAGCATAAAAAACAAGAAAGAAAGGCATATAAAGCTTATATAAGTAAAAACATGACATAAAGTTGGACAGCAATTCGTTATATAAGTAAAAAACATGACATAAAGTTGGACAGCAATTCGTCCTGTACATATAAAAGTAACATGTAGTAAAACAAACAATATTAAAACTAGGCAAGCAGTTGTGGTGGGGTGGTGGCGGTAGAGTGAAACAATTTTCAGATAAAAATTTTGCGTGCGACACCTAGTGGTGAAAAATTTTCTATGATCCGAAAGATAGAATTACACCGAAAAGTGTTTAAACACCAGAAATGCCTTAAATGTGCTAAGATGTAAAATAAGATGAAACTGTACAAACATAAATCACTTTATACTGTTCCACTATATAAAGTATAATTTTATGTTTGCACCTGGCAAGACTCAGCAGTTTATTTATGTCAAGATAAAATAGAACAAATACCAAATTGGATGAAAATGTCCAGGCCCAGAGGGCACTGGACTGTTTATTTAAAAAACAAGAAAGAAAGGCATATAAAGCTTATATAAGTAAAAAACATGACATAAAGTTGGACAGCAATTCGTCCACCACTGGTCCAACCAAAGAGACTTGACAGGCGCAAATTTAGACGACAAAGAAATTTAAATTGTATAGATGCCTACCACTTTCCCAAACCACCAAAAGAAAACAAATATATGTTACAGCAAGTTCTAGAGAAAGTTATAACAATTCTACATGAGTATGATCAAGCAAATCATAGTAGAGAACACTAATGTGGAACAATTTGGAATTCCTATCAGGTTACATATATGTAGTCATAAAGTGTAACTAATATATATATATATATATATATATGTATAAGTAACATGAGAAAGAAAAATATTTACAGTTATAACAAAGCTATTTACAACAAAATGGGTATTAACAACTGTATTATTTTTAAGGGTAAAACTTGTCACATGAGCAAGTGCTTGAAAGTAAAAAACTTACAATATAGAAGTTAACAGGGGTAGACCCTGCCGCTAGCAGGTCTATTATTAAAACACTTTCGACTAGATAAATTATTATGAGGCTTATTAAAACGATGTTAGACAAAAATATGTGATTTTATTTACTGGAATAATAGTGAGACAAATTGTCAGACTAGAATTATGTTGACTAGTTATGATAGTAAAAATTTACAATACATAAATATAAAAAGCAATAAAAGTAAATACAAAAGTACAGATCTTCGGCTCAATAAGGAGCAATTGAAGAAGCATTGCAATGGATTTCATTTTGACTAGCAATATTTTGAGTATGTATATAGTTGTAAATAATTAGAAAATGTTACAAAACCAGCATCAAGATATTTGTGTCACACCCCAATGACACAATAAGCAAATACATATTAACAAAACAATTGTCACTTATTTGTGTTTGCCCAATGACACAAAATGCATATACGGAGTAAAGTATCAACGGCTATAACCAGGTATGGCTTCACAAAAACAAACCTTTTAAACTGTTTATCCTAAAAATTATTCAAAGAATAATTAGATCTAATGTGCTCAATTTGACAAACACCTTGTGATATATGCACCATTTTGTTAAGAATGGCCTTGAGTGATTGAGTGACTACTAAACTGCATAAATATACACGCACGAAGATTTTTTTTATAAATATTTTAATGTCGTCTGG